ACTGGGTGTTGTGCACGAACAATGAATCATGGAACACTTCATCTAGAACTAATGATGTAATGTATGGGGATTAACATAAGAATAAAAAAAAAATTAAAAAAAAAAAAAAAAAGACAGTTGAAGACCAACTTCCAATTTCACCTATGGATGATTATGCAAAAAGCAGAATTTTTGCATTTATGCAAAAATGTCTCAGCAAGAGCCCTGGCCCCGGGGCACCCAGGCACAGCAAGAGATCATGGTGGTCAGAGGCCACAGTGACCCTCCCTTCATGCCTGGGCCCTGCAAAAGCCTTCTGGAACCTCCGCGTGATCTCTGGGCAACGCTGAAGTTATGTTCCCGGCAGCCCTGGGAGAGGAGGCGAGAAACACAAATGGAGTTGAGTCATCCAAAATGAAGTTCGAGTTCTTGCACCCTGGAGTTTGTGGGCTGATTCACATGCAGCAGACACCCCACCCCCATCCCCACCCCAGGCGTGTGACAGCTACGGCCCAGAATCTTCGAGTGTGTGCTACACTTGGGAAGTGATGGCTGGTCTTGTGGGTGGCCGCTCACTCAGACTCCTAGGGAACCGGATGACAAAAGCCAAGAAGGACTGACTTCCACCCCCAGCCCGCCGAGAAGCGTCATTCAAACAGCGTGGGGTGCACGAGGCTGTCTCTCTCTTCCCCAGATACCACCAGCCTTCCTGCACACACACACCTGTTTCCTGATTCTGAGTTGAAATCCGAGCTAAAATGCAAATACACAGACAGATGTAGAGAAGAACACAGTATCACTTTCCAGAGCCCACCGCTCAGGGACTATTTCTTGGCATATTCCTTTCCCCTGTTTTCTGTTTCCATTTTTTTTTTTTTGGAAAATAGTCATTGCCTTGCTTTCTTACCCCCACCAGATATTTTAACATAATCATTTCCTCGTGTCATTAAAAATCTTCTAAGTCAACAGTCTAAATGACTGAACGACACTTCAGTGTGCAGATGGCATCATCATTCACTTGTCATTTGCTCTGTTGGACGTCTAGAGTGTTTCTGAATTTGGCCCCTTTATATAAAAAAGGCTGGGCCATGAAGTCTCATCCTACTTCCTTCCCATGGGGCTCGCATGGGCTCAGACTGGGTCCAGGAGTGGAGCCCACACTCTTCCCCAGCCTCGTTCTGTGCCAGTCTGACCCAGAGCTGCACCCGGACAAATCTCCAGGCCACCTGTGGCCTGAGCCACAGAATAATGGCCCCCAGAGCTGTCTGTACCCTAATCCGCAGCACCTGGGAATATGTTATGTTCCATGGCAAAGGGGAAACTAAGATTGCCGATCAGCTAAATTATCCAGGTGGGCCCAACGGGATCCCCAGGGTCCTTAAGAGGGAAAGCGGAGGCAGGAGAGGCTGAGTGAGCGTGATGCAGCGTGAGAAAGCCTACGGCCAGGGCTGGCTGTGCAGATGGGAGGGAGGGGCGGGGAGCCAGGCACGGCAGGCGCCCCCAGAGGCTGGAGAAGGGGGGAGGCATGGATTCCCCCCTACAGCCTCCAGAAGGAACCAGCCCTGTCGACACCTTGATTTTTGTCGGGTAAGACCCATGTCAGACTTCCGAACAGCAAAACTGTAAAAGAAAAAAAATCGGTGTTGTGTTAAGCCACTAAGTCTGTGGTCATCTGTCTGGGCAGCCCTGGGACCTCGATACAGCCCCGGGCTGCTCTTAGGGGGCTGGGCGCCGTCCACACGCACACCTGCGCTCCCTGTCCATCCAAACACTGACGACAACCCCACGCTTTATCCTCAGCCAGGACCCCGCCCCTGACTCCAGGCATCCAGCGGCCTTCTTGACAGCCCAACACCATCGCACACGTACCATGTCCAACACCAGCCTGCTGGTCCCACCTCTGCTCCTGGCTGCCCCGCTCCCAGCGTGCCCATTGTCCGTCCCAGGACAGGACCCCACCTTCACCCGCCGCACAAACCAAACCTCAGACGGAGTCATCACGGTCCACACCCCACTTGCCAAACGTTGCCAGCTCAGCCTTCAAAGAACACCCGGAATGGGGCCTGTCGCCCCACCTTGGCCATCCTACCCAGGCTGCACCGTTTCTTCTCAGCGAGAACCCTGGCAGGGCCTCCTCCCACCCCTGCTTACGTTGACCCCTCTGCAGTCTCCTCTTTCCAAACACCTGTCTCGTGACATCATGCCCTGCCCTCAGCCCCCTGCTGGTTTCTCACCTCACTTAGAATAAAACCGGATCCTTCCCCTGACCTACAGGTGTCCTAAGTCACTTACTTGCCTTGTGTGTCTCTCTGAACTCAGCTCCCAGCACCCTTCCCTTTGGTCACTGCATCTCAGGTCTCATCTCAGAGCCTGCAGTGTCCCCCTTCTAGAACATTCTTCCCCCCAGAGACTGCATGGCTCAACGGCGCCTGGGGTGTCTGTTCCATTGTAACTTCTCCAGGGAGAGGACCCTCCCTGCGCCCCGCTCCTTGGTGGCTATTGTTCCTATCTGTCACCACCTCCTGACATCACATGACCCAGTGACGAGTTCATTGTCTGTCCGCTGGTTCCTGCTGCACCCACCATGGCAGGAAGTATCTGGAGGTGGGGGCCCGGCTCTGCTCAGAGGGAGATCTGCTCTCGCCACCCTCAGTGCTGGCCACTCAGCCCTCAGGAGGAGGAGGGCTCAATGCTGGGGACAAAGGCGTTCCCGCTGGAGGGGTCTGGGCTCAGGGACAGGCGACAGCTGCTGGAGCACGTGCAAACCCAGAAAAGGGACGTGGTTCCCTGTGAGGAAGCTGGTGAGGAAGCCCCGGAGAGGGACTGCGGAGCGTGGGCTTGCCTGGAGAAGAGCAGTGTGGGGAGATGTAGGGGGACCAGACTTGGCCAAGGAGTGGGGAGGGGTTGGCAGCCGCAGAGGGTCCTGAGCCCGAGTCCCTGCGAGCCAGCTGACAGCCACCCTCTTGGGCTGCCCAGGGAAACCAGGCCCCCTAGGGGAAGAGAGAGACCCCGTCCCTCCCAACAGACTTCGATAAAACCGCCTCCAGGGGCCCACTGGTCATTCATTCAGTCACTCACTCAGCAAGTGCTTATTTCCAGACACTGTCGTAGGTACTGGGGTAGACACAGAGAAGTCCCCGCCCTCTTGCCACTGCAAGGTCACCCAGGGAGGACACCACGGCCTGACCCCCTGATCCTCTGCCTTCGAGGGCCTCTGGGGAGCCCAGTACACCAAGCAGCCCGGCCTGGAGGTGAGCCAGGGCATCTCAGAGTCCTGGGTTCAAGTCCTGCCTCGCCACTTGTCACTTTGGGTGACCTTGGACCCGTCCCTGGAGCCTCGGTCTCCTATTCCGTTCAGGACTCCATCAGAGCTCGTGTGAGGATCAGATGATGTGGGTGAGAGCTGTCTGGGTGACTGGCTCAGCACATCCAGTGAGTGGGAGCTGTTGTGTGGTCACGGGGATTGTCTTATTGTGTTCTCTGGACCTTGTTCAGGCATCCCCCTCCCTGGCTGGCCCTTTGGCGAGTTCCAGCAGGAGGAAGTGACCTCGTGGAGTTCACAGGCTGCTGGGGGAGACACCCCAACCTATAGAAAGTTCTTCAGGGTGTGGCCAGTCTGAGAGAAGGGCACAGAGAAGGGGCTTGAGCCAATGTGGGGGTCAGGGAAGGCTTCCTGGAGGAGGTGACTGCTGAGTATGGTCCCTCCTTAGCTTCTGGCTCCCTGACCCTTGTTTTAGCTGTCTGGTCCCTGGACGCTGGGCAGTATCTGTCTGGGGACTCGGGGGGCAGTGGGTGGCCAGACCAGCTTCTCCTGCCCCAGCCAGTAAAGCACACGCCTGCACCACTCCCACCCGCCCCGGGGCACCAGCACTGGGACGGGCGCTGCCCTGCCGCCCCCACTCTGCACCGGGCCCCAGCTGGCGTGGACACTTACGTTTGGAGTGCTTGTCACACAGCGCAGCTGCACGCATGTCGCAGAGACGCAGGGAGCCCTTGCTACTGCTGTAGACAAAGAGGTTGCAATGGTGGGGGTGAAACTCCGACGCCGTGATCACCTCCGTGAGGTCCTCCATATTGGCCGGCTTGATGTCCACGATGTCTGGCCCCGTCAAGGAAAGGGCAGAGAACGGAGGGCACCCTCGCTGCTCTGCCTTCCCACCGACCCTGCATCTGAGCTGCATCTCCATCCCCGAGACCCCCGGACAAAGCCCCAGACGGTCTCTGAGCTGCAGACCGGCATGTCCAGCCGCCCGCTGGTTGCCCCGTCTGGGTGCCATCCACTGTCCCTGCAGCCTCCCCCCTCCAACCTATGCCCTCTCCCCAGCCAGCACCCACCAGCTGCCCAGCCTCCCCTCCACCCCCCACACCAGGTGCCAAGCAGAAGGCAAGGAGCGTTTGAGTGCCTAGTATGTGCTGGACTCTTGGTGAACAATTTCAGTCACTCCGTGAGTTGTGCCCAGAGCTGAGTGTGCGGGGAGCCCCACCCTAGCACCCACTCCCCTTCTGTCCACAGCATCAAGATTCTCCTTTGGGGAAAAGGTTCTCTGCCTTTCTGCGTTCTCCGCTCTCATCTGTGCCTTCCACTCACTCACAATCACCATGAGCGAGGGGCATGTGGCCTCTGAGGTGCCAGCAGAGGGACTCCAGGCTTGAGATGCGGGGCATGCTGGGGGCAGCTCTGACCTCTCTGCTGGGCTGGGTGGTGTGCAGAGGAGGGGTGTGTACATGCTGCTGGGACAAGGGAAACCCGGAGCCTGCAGGTGGGGCAGACTGGAGGGAGAGACCCAGCAATGCCTTTTGAATCCTGAATCAGGATGGAAGCCATGAGCCTTGGACAATTAAACGTGGGAGCCAACAAATCCATTTTCTGTTTAGGATCAAGATATTCTGTTGCTTGCAAAGAAAGTATCCCTGACAGATACTCTAGAGCCCAGAGAGGGTAAGCAACTTGTCCAGGATGGCTCAGCAGCAAGTAGTAAGTCTGCGTTCCATTCCATTGCTTGTAGCCTAAAGCAGCAAATCCGAACCCCTTGGTGTAGCATTCAAAGCCTGGCATAGCCCCTCTCTACCTCTCCAGCTTCGGATCCAACTACTCGCTGGGCCCTAAAGGCGCTTTCCTCTCTGACAGTGACACCCTGGTCTCTGGTCTCCCTGGCCCTGCGTGAGGCTCTGCCCAACCTACCCCTCTGGCTGAAATACCCTCTCCTCCCTCTGCATCTGTGTGTGGGTCCTGGAGTCAAAGTCTGGGCTTCGAATCCCATCTCTATCACCTCTTGCCCGTGCAATCGAGGGGGAGTTCCCTAGCTCTTCGTGCCTCTGTTTCCTCATCTGTAAAATGGGCCAACAGTTCTAACACAGTCTTGTCGTGAAAACTAGGAAAGGCCAAGGCCCTTGTTCGCTGCTTGACACATCGCAGAGCTCAGTGAATATCAGGGACATTACTGCTTTTTGTTATCTGGAAAATACTGATTGAAACTCTGAGACTTGCCTGCCATCAGCCCTCCCTCCCCCTCCCACCACCGCCTCAATAAAGGGGCATTTTGTGACTTTCGTAAACAGGAGAGTTTATAAAACATCACAAAACAATGTTGAATCTGAGTGACCAGGGGCACCGAGGAGGGTGTGTGTGCTCATGCTCAAATATTGCTTCTGGAAGCACCTCCTTAACCAGAAACTTAGAATCACATAAAAATAGAGAGAGGAGGAAGAAGGAGCCTGAGCTGGTTTCCCAGGAAACTGTGGTTTTCTGGGACGATAAGAAGCAGAGATTAAATCTTGAAAAATGAGACTGAACAGTAAGAGAGAAAAAGCCAAGACTTCTGTGCTGCTAATTCCATCCCCATCCTTCAGGGGCTAAGCGCCTACAGAGGCCTGCTTGGGAACCGCTTCAATTTCTCCCCCAACTTAAATCGGTGTCAGGGGAAAACGTGCGGCCGTTTATGAAACGTCACGCACGTGAGCACAGCACCCGGTTTGATGCTCTGCACCAGGGGAACTAAATCCTCTCCGCAGAACTCGAGCCACAAAAGTCCAAGGAAGCTTGGGGGACACGGAAGTGCCCAGGCCTCAAGGAACACAGGTCGGCTTGGAGACCCGGTGTGTCACGTATTAGGGGACACGTGTTTACACCGTGTTTCATCGGGCTACGACTTCTAGGGGAGCAGGACTCTGTGGGATAAGGTGGAAACGTCTTGCCAACCACTCCGGGGAGAGGTGGGGGGACCTGCCCATGGGCCCCACGGAATTCAGGGCAGCCGTGCCCTTACTGCTTTTCCCGAAGAATGGAGGGCAGAAGTGACAGGCGCCAGGCATCATTCCCAGGCTGAAGCTTTGAGAGCCAGCACGTGGTGGGCCATGACGCCTTCCCCTCTGCTGTGGGACCCATGCCTCAGGTGGCCTCCTACGAGATCCCCCTGGGCCGTTTCAAGCCTCAGACCTTCCAGTCATCTGTTTCTGCCCATGACCTACCCTCCCGACCCACTCAGCGTCCAACCCCTCTTCACTTCCCCACATCGGGATGTTCTAGAACACAGCTCAACGGAGAAGGATCAGAGGTGTGACGTCTGAGCTCCAATCACTCTGCCTCCAAGACCAAAACTTGTACACACCCGACCACGACTGTTGTTCTACTTATGTCCATCGTTCATCGTGAGTCTCGGGCAGGAGCTCAGTCACCGGCCGCCCACATTTACTCAGCGTCTGGCCCGTGGAGATGGAGTTTGATGCTCATGAAAATCTGTTCACCAAGATGGGAAGACTGGGAAGCTGTGCACACTGGTGTTCAGGAAGGGAGCGCAGTGGGGGTGGGGGCTCAGAAGCTTCCTCCCCCGGCCCCCACATGCTGCTCCCAGACCCATAAGGGGCCCAAGGCCAAGCAAATGGGTGTGGCCTCTTTGCTCGAGTCCGGAGTGCATGCTTTCTGCGGCCCCGTCATGCTTAACCTGACAGCCTCATGACAACACTCATTAGAAATACGTATGAGGCGTGACGGCTTTTAGAAGTCCACGGGGGTCGGTGACGTCTGCAGCCCTCTGCAGCGAGCAGGCCTGAACTGGCGACACAGAGGGGCTAAGGGCGAGGCACGTGGACCGAGGGTCCTGTGTGTGGGCTCGGGACAGAGAGCCTCCCATACCGGGTCCCGCTGACAGCCCAGGACCACAGTTCTTACAGCTCAAGCATCACTCAGGAAATCTCTTGCTGTTTCAAACAAAGGACTCTGGATACGGGGGGTGCCGGGGAAAGATGGATGGGAAACATTTCCACGGGACCCCAGCGGAGGAAGACACATCCACAGTCACGGCCAACATGCTGGGGCCCCTGCAGGGCAAGGGCTCCCTGAGGCGGGGCAGGCAGTCTCGCACCTCTGAATCCCAGGGTCCAGAGCCATGCCCTCACCCCGCGGGACAGACAGTATCCTTCAGGGCACGGCCACCCAGCCTCTTCCCAGGGCGGCCTCTCCAAGACCTCCTGCTCAGCTCACTACAGGACCAGCCCTGCACCTGCTACCTGGCTCCTCGTGGGTGCAGGTGGGTACAGAGGGGGCCTGTCCCTGTCAAATTCCCTTCATCACATCATAAAGCCGGGCCTGAAGGCAGACTGCTCACAAGAGAGGCAGGTTCAGAAGAAGACTCCATAGTGTGATAATTGCACCCCACACATGCGCTGCAAACACGCCTCCTAGACTCACACCCATGCGGCCTTGTGCACGTGGACCGGGAGACATTTGGTCCACCCGTGACTGTACGTGGTGGCTTTGACTTTGGCAGGACCTGTGCTGGGGGCCCTAGGCTGAGCATGTGGTGTTCGCTCTCTCTGGAACGCTCAGTGCCGCGTGCAAATGTCATTCCCATTCCTCAAGCCTCAGTATCCCCCATTTGCAAAATGAGGGTTTGGGCATGATCCTGGAGCACACTTGGAGACCTGACCCCCAGGTGGCCTCTCCCCCGCTTCATGGTCAGCTGCATAAATCCCACTTGTACACGGTGGAGCTTTATGAGGTTCAAGGCAAACTGGCCTCCCTGGGGAACAAGTGTAATTAGACTCATCTACAAGCCCCCCCTCCCCCCTGCAAAGCCGCATGAATTATTCATGTACTGTTTTCCATCTAATTGTTCTCCCCCTGTCTGATGAGCTTTCCTTTAACCTTTGGTCACACCCTGGCAACTAAGTTTGACAACCACGAAGGTGAAGGCAGGAGCAGGTCACGCAGGGAGGAGGAGGAGGAGAGAAGGTGAACTCTCTCGGTGCCACGCCCCTCGATGAGCACAAGGGCTTTCTCCAGAGCAGCAGGTTGAATGGTGGCCCCCAGTACACGTCCACAACCTAAGCCCCGAAACTGAATGTGGCGCACTGAGAAAAAGTCCTTGTAGATATAATGAAGGATCTTAAGAGGCGGCCATCCCCGGGAGCCTCCAGAGGGAGCACAGCCCTGCCAACGTTAACTGCAAACTTCTGGCCCCCAGAACTGGTGCGGATTTCTGTTGCAAGCCGCCCAGTTTGCGGACACTTGTTCCGGCATCCGCGGGAAACTCAGACACTGGCTTGCTTCTGGGAGCTGGGCAGCAGTGGCCTGGCCGTCCACTAGTACCATAGTGCTTACTGGTTGGCTGCCCACCTCTGCAATGAGGGCAGGGACCTGTCCGCCTGCGCCGCTGCCGCACCTTTGATGTCTGGAGCAGCGCCCAGCACATGGCAGGTGCTTTGCAGAACAGCTGCTGAAGTCGGTGAACCCACCAGCCCGTCGGGGGCCCCTGGGACCCGGGCCGGGGGGAGCACGGGGAGTGTCCCACCCATCTCAAGGGGAGGAAGCCCTTAGAGCGGAGGCGAAGCGCAGGCTCAGGGAGACGCCAGGCCAGGGGGGCAGGGAGGCGGTCCTTGAGGGGGGACTGTCACTGACTAGGGCCATGAAAAGAGCCATCACCCTGCCGTGCACAGGGAGCATTGCAGCGCCACGCAAATGCTGGAGAGCGCTGCAGAAACCGGGAGGCACGCTGGGCATGGGTTTCTGCGGGATTCTCAGGAAGGTCGCATTCCCCACAGAGCCCTCCTTAGGTCCCCACTGCATTCTGCTCACAGACCGGCTAGCGCTCAGCTTTCCGG